TGATGTCTATATCATTCCCACTTACAGGGAGTACTATTGCTTTATGTGGTGCAGCTTCTACAACTCGACTGCATAAAAAAAGATAAACATCCACGATAGTGTCAGTGCTTTTGAGAAAAGAGTGAGGAGTAACTAAAAGCTAGTGCAGTTTCTTTCCTAGCATAGCATTTGTGCAAAATGAAGAGAAGTGCAGGATTGTTCAGAAAATCAACAGAGTTTCGATTTGAGGAATTGAAAACCAAACTTATCATTAAAAATATTTAACTTAAGAACCTGAAATCATAATGGAGGCCTCTTCAAGTGCCAAGGATCATTTCTGATTGATCTAGAAAGATTTTTAAAAAAATAAAAAAATAAAAAAACCCTACAAAAGGTAAACAGATTTTAAAAGCAGAACATTTTGCATTTAGCATGCATGGGGAAAGAAAGACAATTATTACCTGTATAAAGGAAACTTCCGACCTCCTCTTAGTATAAAATCCTGTGGTACAGTTTTAATTTTGTGTTAGTAAATTCCAAAAAAAAATCTAGGAAACTATAATCAAATTTGAATCTCACAACATTTGTGTAGTTGTTATTCATTACATCAGCTATGTCACTATGAGTGCTGAATTTCCAAAAATGAGCAAGACTTTACAATTTTGATGTGGAATTGCAAATTGAACAAATTAACAATGACCATAATTTTACAACTGAATATATAGTTGGAAAGTTTTCGAGCTTTAAAGCCTTCACATTTCCATACTTTTCATGAAATAGATAATCTCTAGAGGTGGGAGTGCACCTGAGTAAAAATAGCCTTTGCCTTAGAGACCCGTAAACGTGTTGCTATTTCCTTTGGTGCAAAACTGTCTGCTATTGATACTACAATAAGTCCAGCTAATACAATAGCCAAGTATATAATCACTGCATTGATTGTCATTGGCATGTCAATTGCAATTGCATCACCCCTCGAGAATGTTACCTCCAGTGCATTTGCCACCAATCTGCAGATCATGTTATAAGCAGATCAATAAAAGGTCAAGCAAAGAAATGGAATTAAAGTTCAGAAAGGACATTATAGAACAGGAACAAAGGAAGAAACAGGACTATATACACGAAACCATACATTACTTGTTCTCGAAGTTCTTTTAATGTCATACAGCTCACTTCTGAGTCATCACACCCTTCATCCCTCCATACAATAGCACAACTATCATCGTCTTTTCTTGGATGGCTTGATGGTAATAAACAACATTCAGCAATATTCAAAAGTGAACCTGGAAGCCATCTACCCCCAGGTTTTGACTTGTCTGAAGTATCTAGAATGCATTTTGGAGCTACCCGAAACACAATTGATAGCTCTTTTAGAATAACTGACCAATAAGTCTGAAATATTAATTCAAAGTTCCAATCTCAGCATCAACAGAAATCCTGGTAAACTTATATTCTTGAATTAATCTTAGTATTTACATGAAAAAGGTCCCCGTCAGAAATCAACACCTACCTCAGGATGTTCAACAGAGAATTTCCTGAAATGGTTAAAACTTGCAATTGGGTCCTTGTATGAAGTCCCTAAAAACTTTGGACCATAAGTTTCCATTACACGTCCTAAGTTTGTAAGTTTAGATTGATATCTGGACAAGGAGCAGATTATAATCAATTAGGAAAAGAGATAATGAAATTGATTCATAGAGTGACAACGCCAAGATATCATTTCTTTACTGCCAAACAGCACAGATTTCAGTGACCTTTGCATAGTTCGACTTCCAAATTGCAATTATACTAATTCACATTGTTGTCAAAATTTAGATTTAAATCTTAAAATCTTACGATTTTACGATTTTAGCAAGACATTTCGTGTAAAATCTATACTAAAATCTGAAATTCATAAAATCTAGATTTTACCGTGAAATCAGGTAAAATCTCGATTTTACCTTCTGTTTAGCAGCTGGACTTTTTGCCTATTTCCTTTTGGGTTTCTCATCTCGGGTTAGTAAGTTTTGACTAGATAACCCATAAATTAAGCTTATTTTTCATTTTAAAAGCCCACGACTCACACAACCCAACCACAAATCAACATTTTAATCGGGAATTCAGGACAAATTTGATTTAACAATCTAAAATTCTAAATTTAAGTCATCTTCTTCGTTTAATTTATTTGTGTTGTTGGATATTTGGATTTTAATTAGCTAATTTTAAGTTTCTAACTCTAAATTTGATTTATTGTTATTTAATTTTGATTTTATATAATTTATTATATATTATATATTAAATTTTATAAAATCTCGATTTTACCGATTCGATTTTACGATTCCAATTTCACCAAACCAAAACAATTTTAGGTAAAATCTCGATTTTAACAACCTTGCTAATTCATACAGTAATTAGACTACTCTAAGCAACAAGAAAATAGATTCATCAATAAAAGAAAGTGAATATGGATAACAGAGAGTGAAAGAAAACATTACAAGGAGGGGAACCAATAAAGGGGAGGGCCATTGGTGGAGGAATCCCAATTGGAATA